TAAAGATTTTATACAATTTAGTAGATAAACAAATATCAGTGAATCTATGTGTGGCTGCACTGAGGTCACAAACTGACACCAAAAAAAAAAAAAAACACCTCAGAAGTTCTGAAAAGTAATATTATGCTTTATATACATATCCTAAAACACATTTTAGGGAAAGCCCTTCATAAACACTGCACATCTAAATCGCTGTATTTTCAGGAATTTCCCAGAATTCCATGCTGGAAATGCAAATGATCCGCAGGAAGCATTCAATCAATATTTTGTTGTCTTAACAATAGCAAACAACTTTATAAGATCATTTTAAATAAGTGCTCAGTTTACGGCCTCAGTGGACTAAACCACAAGCTTATTCTGCAGTTTCTCATCATTCTGGTCTTATGGAGGAATAACACCTTCTGAACTACCCAAGAAATATATTATTTGTCTGATCATGCTCATAATTAACTTGCGGTGAAAACTACTCCATGATTCTGAGCTTTTCAAACTATTGAAAAGACAGTTTAATTATCTAAAAACTTATAGTATTGATGCTAAACTTCAGTGTTCTATGAAGAATAAATGCAGATATGTGGATCCATGAATAATTTAGTCGTCTCTCTATATATTTTAATTAAAAAGAATCCAATGGTCAGATTTCAAGAATAGAGAAACACTTTCTCTCTTTCATGTATAATTGAAAAATGTTTATGCTATTTATTTATGGAATGCATTTAACTCAGTTGCAATCATGTATAAAAAAAAAGTGAAAATCAAACCATGTTTTTCTCACTTTAATGGTTTTATTTCGGAATTAATTTAGCTCCACTAACTGAACCAGACAATGGGCACTGCCTTTTTGAATAATTAATGGTCTGATTGTTTATGGAAATGTAGTTAATTTTTCTATAATCCCTCACTGTGGTTCGTAAAGTTTTTTTTGGAATATGATAGAGTTTTGTCTCTATTTAAGAGAAACTATATAGAGAGAATGAACCCCTATTTTTATCTATTATATAAATACTATTACTAATATAGATAGTGTGTTAAAAAAACGAATACTGTGAGACATGAAATTGCTGTTTAGTGAATGAGCGAGTGCGCTGGATCTTGTATTATTATTATTTATATAGTGCCAACAAGTTCCGTAGCGCTGTACAATGGGTGGACTAGCAAACACGTAACTGTAACCAGACGAGTTGGACACACAGGAA